TGGCCAGTAACATGCTTGGATGAAGGGCTTCCAAGTTTGTTCAAATAAATGACCTTGCCTTATATTCAAGGTCACAGGGGTCAAATATGTTAAAATCTTTTAAACAACTTCTTCTGAATAACCGAGAGGCCTAGGGTGATGATATTTGGCCAGTAACATGCTGGGATGAAGGGCAACCAAGTTTGTTCAAATAAATGAACTTGACTTATATCCAAGGTCACAGGGGTCAAATATCTTTAAAACCTTTAAACGACTTATTCTGAATAACCAAGAGGCTTAGGGTGATGATATTTGGGCAGTTATATGCTGGGATGAAGGGCTACCAAGTTTGTTCAAATAAATGACCTTGCCTTATATTCAAGGTCACAAAAGGCAAATGTGTTTTAAACATTTAAACAACTTCTTCTGAATAACCAATAGGCCTAGGGTGATGATATTTGGCCAGTAACATGTTGGGATGAAGGGCAACCAAGTTTGTTCAAATAAATGAAATTGACTTATATCCAAGGTCACAGGGGTCAAATATGTTAAAATCTTTTAAACAACTTCTTCTGAATAACCAATAGGCCTAGGGTGATGATATTTGGCTAGTAACATGCTGGGATGAAGTGCTATAAAGTTTGTTCAAATGAATGACCTTCATCTTTTTTCAAGGTCACAGGGTCAAATATGTTCTTAACCTTTAAACAACTTCTTCTGAATAACCAAGAGGCCTAGGATAATGCCAGAACATGCTGAGATGAAGGACTACCAAGTTCAAATGAATTACCTTGACATATATATTTTAATGTCACAGGGCTCAAATATGTTTAAAACCATTGAATGACTTCTTCTCAATAAGCAAAAGGCCAAGGGTGATGATATTTGGCCATTAACATGCTGGGATGAAGGACTACCAAGTGAATGACCTTCGCCCATATTCAAGGTCACAGTGGTCAATATATGTTTAAATCTTAAAATGATTTGTTCTGTATAACCAAAAGGTCCAGGGTAATGATATTTTTCCAGAAGCATTCTGGGTTGGAAGACTATAAACTCTGTTCAACCTAATATTATAATGTCCTTGTTCGACATTCAAGGTCACAGGTGTCATATGTTTAAATCTTTTAATAGGTTCTTATTAATGAAACACTGATATTTTGCCTGTAACTGTATTTTAGTCCACTTTTAAGATTACAAGTGAGGGATTAATACCAGGTGAGCGATGCAGGCCCATTGGGCCACTTGTTTAGACCTGGTTGTGATTCTAGATAAAATCCTAACAATACATATGCTGAACGACTTAAAACTTAAAAAACACAACTCTTTTTTTCTTTTGGGAGTAAATTTTTGTTGACACAGTGATAACTAGTTATGACGTACTTCAAAGAAAACAAACATTGATATTCATCTGCATAAAGATCTTATTATATTTATAAACAAATACCACATTTAATTGATAAATGATATCAGAAAGTAGATGTTTGTGTCAAAGTTTCGTGTCAGAGGTCAATTATTCGGGCATTCTGGACCTCGTTTTTGAGGGGCGAAATTGATGCACAAAACTCATGAGTAGAAGCTTTTTTCAGTATTTTTAGCCCTATAAAGTACCTGTGCAAATTACACAGGGTTTTACGGTAAATCACACGATACACAGAAAATTACATACAGTGTACAAACAAAAAGTGTAAAAGTATTCTTTTCCAAAGTGCAGGTATACTGTTTTTGTTCAATCAGAGACAGCCCTACTCACAGATTTTCTGTCATTTCAAGGTCAACCGTGTAAAATAAAATGGTTATGGTCTGATGGTCAATTAATATAATATAGCAAGAAAATTGCAATTTAGCATGCCAAATTATCAACAACCTCTCTTAAGCAACGCATCAGGAAATAAAATATAAAGAGTAACTGTTGAGAACTGTAGATTTGGTAACCCGAGCCATGAGGAGACATTTTCACTAGTCAGTGGCTGAGCAGCTTTAGGACAATTACCGTCTGGACTGGCCTTTGTCACCAGAGATGAATTAAGTACTTGAATTGTGACGCAAAATATGTCAGTACACTACATTTCACTTAATATCACGTCGCTCAATGTCACTTTTCGGTTATTGTCATGTTTTCTTGATGCACCGTTATATAATCCAATTCTTTTATTATCACTTGTTTTGATATCATTTTTGCTTTATATCACTTTATTTTGGCCACTGTCACAAAAAAACTATTGCATTTTTAAGTCGTTCATTATGTGATTTTCAGGATTTCATGATTCAGGAAACAAGTTACTAAACTAAGTGTGTAAAATACACTTTGCTTGAAGGCAAAACTTAAGGTTTATCAAACTAATATATGTAAAAATCTCTGTGAATGTGTTTTGAACAAGTATTTGTACTGTATTTATGATGGAAGACTAATGTTACCAGCCATATAAAGAACAAGTATAACAGGAGGACAAGCAATCAATAACAAAATATCTACATTTCACATCATTTATTGTACATATATGTGTATTATTTCAGTAGAAGTTTAAGTTCTGTTACAAGGTACTTGTTACACATTTTATTGGAGGAGTTTACTCTACATTAGTTAGAAATGTGATAAAAACTATTACTTAATGTTCATATTTAATATAACCAACTCCGATACCAGTTTTGTTTTTATGTAGCAGCCATTTGCGGACAAAGGGAAGAGCAAGGCGATGATGGAGTATCGAAATATATATGTATCGTGCAAATATTTTTTCATTCATTTTTTTCCTATAAGTATGAACTTGTTCATAAAGTAGATTTTTTTCATGGATTACAGGATGAAAAAATAATGACATATTCTTAAATGCTTCAAAATTTAGAAATAGCGAAACTGTAAATCTATTAACTTGAGTGAATATGTATTTTTGTGATTGTTCTTCAGGCGAAAGGATTTCAAGGGAATTTGATTTTATCAAGAAACAGCCAGTGTTTTAAATTGTGTCAGATAAAAATATTAACAAGATGTTTAAAAACATAGTTGACTCTCGCAGAAATATGTATTTCACCAAATTTAGTAAATTTACAGGAGGTCCTCAGGGTTCAGAGTTAATAGTGTTTCAGCTAACAACTATTGAAAAATTGATACACTCCAATTACTGGAATAGGTTTACTGGTCAGTTCACCACTAAAAAATAGAGCCACCTCCCTGTCTCATTGTACAAAAATGTCAACCTTTTGAATGCAATGGACGTTGTTAGATATTGTTGTGTTTAAGTTCAATACCATGAATCAATTAGTCATATTTGAAACAGTTAAAACGGATGTATTAGATACATATGTAGCATTACAATTCTTCTGAAAACAAAGACCCTGTTATACTGACACTTTTTGTTGATTGAAATTTTGACTGACAATTTTTGTTGATCGACATTTTGGCTTTATAAAGAGGGGGCCACAGATACTAGACACCTAAAAACATGCATGTGTATACTATTCTATTTGTAATATAGCATATACACTTTTTGTGTGTCCAGGCAGTTTGACAATATATCAAGGGAGGTGTATAGAAAAGTTATAAAGAAAGATTTGTTACCGAAATATGATGGCAGTAAAGTGAATTGGCAGAGATAGAAGGAGTATAATATCAAGGTGTTGGTTAATTTTAATTATACTTTTTCTGAAGCAGCAAAAGCGTTGAAGGAATTAGTCTGACTTTCCCCAAGTAGAAGATTCTAATCCCTGAATATTGTATGTGGTAATGTGGGTATGTACTTAAAACAGATATTTTAAGGAGCGACATTTGTTCTCGTCCTTTAAGAAGCCAGTAAATTTTGATTTC